TGAGGATCCATTCAGATAATAGCAATTACTAGTTTGCCTTTTACGCCATATGGAATCTGTTTCGGCAGATATTTTAGACTGATTATTCTCTGGCGCTGACGTTTTGAATTTGGCATGAAGAAATTAAACTTTGATGTCAACAAGTGAGTGAATTGGGTTTAAGAATTGGGTTTAATTTCGTTCTTATATGCCCTTTCAACGTAATGTGCAGCGTTTACTACAATGGTGAAACCCACAAACATTGGTATGATTCTGAAAACGAATTCATGAGGAATATCGGATCCGATCGGTGGATCCTGACACGGCCAATGGAGACAACTCTGATCCATGATGTCCGCCACACTCAGCAATATTCAAGTGGCATCACAGCGGCATGCACATAATGGACTCTGGACCAGACAAACAAGTTATTGATATCATAAGCATTGTCAAACAGCTGGGTTTTACTGAATGTGATGTTAAACAGCAAACAGGCAAAAACAGATAACTGTATTGAGTTTGTCATGTGGCTGGCATTCAGTAGTTATCTGTTCTCAGTGTATTTATTTCAGCATACAATATACTTCATCCTCATATTTCTGTCCAAGATCTGTGCGGCGAAGATTTCCTCGTCAAATTAGGAAAGTGTGACAGGGTGACAAACAATCCATCTTGAGTATTACCATTACCATTTGATACCCTAATGCTTCGCAGGGTTGTCAGCGATGGCCACAGTTGGGTGAAGATGGTGAAACCTGACGGAAACCTGAACCGTCTGTCATTATTTTCTAGACATAATTAAAAATCAATGTGGCTTGTGGCTTGTGGCTTGCATAGCAATTTATTTTAAATATTGAAGTGTGAATTGGTTAAATTTGTACTTTATTTTAGATTCAATCTTTTGATTGGGAGCGGCTTCAGTTTTCATTCAGCCCAATCAAGGTACCAGCTTATGATCTTCTCATATTCATTGTTATGGATGATAATCCTTGGATTTTGAGATAAACATGATGGAAACATAATGTACACAACAATCTGTATTGATATATCCTGTGTTGTTTGTTGTTTAACGTCGCACTCAGCAATATTCCAGCCATATGACGTCAGTCTGTAAATGATCTAGTCTTGACCAGACAACCCAATGATTGATATCATGAGCATCGATCTACGCAATTGGGAAACGATAACATGCATCAACCAAGTCAGCGAGCCTGACCACCCGATCCCGTCAGTAGCTTGTTACGGCAAGCATGGTTTGCTAAGGAGCTGTTCTCTACCCGGAACTTCACAGGTCATCCTGTGTTGGCAGATGGTGGATTTACACTGATGACTGTTTGCACGAGGCCGACAATAATGATAATGTAAGTGAAAAGCTGAAGCAGTTTTATTGACACATCCATTGAGATTTCAAGTTTTGTGGAGTCCGGGCACACCTCGTGGGTCACCTGCTTTGATGTCACAACTCTCAGATGTGACACGCCTTTCTGTTTCATATCTGGTCTCAACAAACATCCGTCAAATAGCATTGATCACGAAATACTGACTATTTGTTTGTCAAATTGGGAAACAAATAGACAAAGAGAATAGGGCACATTTTATCAATTGAACAAAACACGTCGTCTATCATGTGTCCACCAATATTGCGTGATAAATGATAACATTACACTTTCCGAATAGAATCTTCCAACTGACAACATGAGGAAGCGGCGTGTAGTATATATAGCAACATGTGTAGTGATGTGAATGTAGGCTATGTTACTGAAAAATGAAACTGTAATATGTCACTTAAATTTGTATATGCATACTGCGCCAAGGTTTAAAAGAGTACATGTATATAGTTAACCTAAATGGTTTGTGTTAAATACATGTCTTGTCTTTGATGAATGACATATTGGACGGACTCTGAAAGAAATGCATTTCGTATAATTCAATTTCCATTTCGTAAACCTATACCTTATGGAAAGTTTGTTTATTTGTTTGTTTGTTTGTTGTTTAACGCCGCACTCTGCAATATTCCAGCTATATGACGGCGGTCTGTAAATAATCGAATCTAGACCAGACAATTCAGTGATTGACATCATGAGCATCGATCCACGCAATTGGGATACGATGACATGCATCAACCAATTCAGCGAGCCTGACCACCCGATACCGTTGGTCGCCTTTTACGGCAAGAAAGGGTTGCTGAAGACCAATTCTAACCCGGATCTTCACGATCTTTCATGAAAGATTTAAATGTTTTTGTCGTGGTTAAAAATATGAAAATTATTAAAAAACAGCTATAATCAGGTCTAACAATCCATAAATGGTCGCTTGCTAACGGCTTCAATTGTCCTAAAGCTAAAAGTAGCTTTATATATTTCTTTAGAAGATACTACACAAGGTCTGGCACCGTCATGTCTGACATGGAGAAGTGTTTAAACCACCAAGAGGAAGCCTTCTGCGTTAGAGGGATCAAGACACTCCTGTATCTTTGGCAGAAGTGTGTGGACCTCGGAGGGCATTATGTTGAAAAATAGTAAGCAACCACCTCCATCAACTCAGCCCATCATATACTGAACAACAAATGTTCCTGTGACACTAAATAAGATTTAATGCAAAGTTTATCTTCGTCTCATGGAATGGACCAGGCGTCGCACAAAGTCCTGTGGGATATCTGTCCATATCTGCTGAAGCATGTTTCGAAGTTCTGGAGTGTCTGTGGAACACGTGGTTGACGTCGATCCATCCCATCCCACATGTGCTCGATTGGTGAGAGATCAGGGGAGCGAGCCAGCCAGGGGATGACATTCACGTTGTTTTGTTGAAGAGAATCCTGAACAAATCGAGCAATATGAGGCCGGGCGTTGTCATGTTGAAAGGTAATGCCTGGACCCTGACGACGCAAAAATGGTAGCACAACAGGGCTGATGATCTCGTCGCGGTAGCGCTGTCCATTGAGATTTCCCTCTACCACTATCAAACGGGTCCTCGGTTTTGCTGTATTCCCACCCAATGCAATAACGCTGCCGCCCCCAAACCGATCTTCTTCACAATGATTGACGTTCACCTCGACGTCGGTACACTCGAATCCGTCCATCGCTGTGGCTGAGGTGAAAACGAGACTCGTCAGTGAATAGAACTTGTCCCCACTGCATGGCCGCCCAGCGTAGACGTTGTCTGCACCATTGTAGACGTGCTTGACGGTGGTTTCCTGTCAAAATGGGACGTCTGGCGGGTCTTCTGGCGACAATCCCTGCACATCTGAGGGGGCGAAGTACGGTTTGTGAAGATATTCGTCGAAGGCCGGGGAAACTTCTTGCAGTCACTGTTGCTGGCTGGAATCGATTTCGTAGGTGTGTTGTTCGAATCCAGTTGTCTTGTCTATTATTGGATACGCATGGCCTGCCACTCCGAGAATGGTCTCTGACTGCATTCGTCTGTTGCCAACGTTGCCATAAACACCAAATGGTGTTTCTGTGGACGTTAAATTGTCTTGCAACATCACGTTGACTCGATCCTGCTTCAAGCAAACCAATGGCTCGCAGGCGCTCATTTTCGGACAGACGTGGCATTTCGTAATGTTGAATAATTGCGTAATTTTGTTGTTTTTCTGAGTGGTTGTCAGCACGATGCTAAACAATTCATATGGAATCCCGTTAACGCACATGTTTTTATACCCATTCTTGGGTAGTGAAAGGCATGGGGCTTGCATAAAAGTCAACTTTTGCATGAAATGCATGCTTTTCTGTAGCAGTTGCGTTTTTGTGACTTGATTCCATGCATGTACTGCAATATTGAAAACCAAACTTTACTTGTTTGAAAAATACACTAAAATATTGGTGTCACAGGAACTTTTGTTGTTGAGTATAGTTCGGCTCGGACGTCTTCATCCTCCACTTGCACCTTCCTCCATCACATAACTGTGTGAGTCAGCATGAGGTGAGGGGTCATGTGAAAGACGATCATAGATGCAATATCATAGTGTGACCTACTTCATGAGATGGTGCTGACCCACAGCGACATGCTGTGCAGTTTATCAGCGCTTATCTTTGCAGTGTAATGATGTTGGCGTTACCAGACTCCACCACAGCTGTTATTTAAGTTTAGAACCGTGAAGATCCGGGTTTGAATTGCTCTTCAGCAACCCTATGCTTGCCATAAGAGGAGACTGACTTGGTCGATGTATTGATGTTATTGTATGCCAATTGTGTGGATCGATCCTTATGATGCTAATCACTGGATTGTCTGGTCCACACTAGATTGTTTACAGGCCCCTGGCTTATAGCTGGAATAATGCCGAGTGTTTATATTTAAGGTCTCGTCTTAAACCAATTCATGTTGAGTCAATGAGGCGGCTGGGAAGAAGATATCACCATCACCTTAGGTTGATTAAAGGGGGTCTCAGTTTTAAAAATTATACTCTCTTAAAAAAATTAAAATGTATAAAAGCAATTATATCCAGCTTTCCATGAAAAGGAATGTCATCATTTCATAAAAAAATTAAACACAGGGATAATTGTGTTTTAACTTTATTTCGTGAATATGTTCCGAGACATTCTGACACACAAACTGGTTTCCATCTAAAATCTCTCAATAGCTTCAATTTGCTTCAAAGGATTTGTAACGAAGCAAAAGCGAGCAATTCATGGAGAATTTAACTTCCTAATAATTGTGTTGTTGCTAATATGACAGCATCTACCCGTTTGATGTTAATGAAAGCCCTATTCCCATGCGATTGTGCAAGAAGTAAGGAAACTGCTACTTCAGTGTTTTAATTATGAAAATGTCCCATATTTTGGAAAATAATTTGGTTGTCCTTTAAAACTTAAATGTAATCATGCATTGTTGTTTAATCGGAATAGAACACAGTGGTGTGGATTAATTCTCCACACTGACATTTAACAGAAAAAGAAGGAACTGTGTACCTACAACGAAAGCTCCATGGATCATGAATATTCATGAATAGCCAGATTATATTTCTGCCAATCAAACGACCATTCAGCGACTCTGTTTCTGACCTAGAGGGCGCGTATGCCTGTTATTTAACAGACACGGTTCTGGTTGTCAGAACGTTCACCATGGGGTTTCAGTTGAGCGTTCCGCTTCTCTGTTTTGCTGTACTGGCAGTGATGCAGTCTTGTTGCCACGCAAAAGAAGAGAGAAGAATGTTTAGTTATTTTCAGCAAATGCTACAAATTACTGAACAGAAAGTAGGTGCTATTGGGGACAAACAAAGACGGGATATGGAAACACTGAACAGTGGACTTAACAGTCGTATTGAGGAACGCGTCAAGCATCTATTTCGGAAGTGGGCAGGAATGCCTGAAATACGTAAGTACAACACATTTGGGTGAAAATTAAAGGAGGGGTAGGCTAAGGAGCCTTTTTGGTCAACTGGAAATGTCAAAATTTCTTCACGCACAGTTCAATACCCACTTTGGAAAGCGAATTGCGAACAAGGGTCTTCGGGGTGAATAGCCAAGGATTTCACCCTTGGGATTGCTATGAAATCAACGCTTTTTCAGCCATCTTCAGAATACAGTAAACGTGGGTACATAAAAGCATTGAATGAAAAAGTTTACTACCTCTTATATGATATTTCCAGTTTACTTTGAAAATTCGGAAAGAAAGATGCGGGTTAGAATATGTCCTCAGCAACCCATGTTTGTCGTAAGAGGCAACTAACAGGATCAGATGATCATTCGCTCTGACTTGGTTGAAGCATGTCGTACCTCAACCGCGTGGAACTTTGCTCATGATTTCAATCACTGGATGTCTGGTCAAGACTCGATTATTTACAGTCATGCCCTCATATTACTAAAATATTGTCTCAGAACGCACACCGGGGCCGAGTGGCCAATGTTCCCGGTGCGGAGAACCGCTCTGTTACTTACGCGGACCCATGAAGATCCGGGGTAGAATAGGTCTTCAGCAACCCATACTTGCCCTAAAAGGCAACTAACGGGATCGGGTGGTCAGGCTCGCTGACTTGGTTGATACATGACATCGATCCCAATTGCGTGGATCGATGCTCATGATGTCAATCACTGGATTGTCCGGTCCAGATTCGATTATTTTACAGACCCCCGTCATATAGCTGGAATATTGCTGAGTGCGGCGTTAAACAACAAACTTACACGAAAGCAGGCATTCGGACGGCGATTTTGTGTTGTCGACGGCCTTAGCCGACGCCACGACTCTTCGCCAGTGGTAACGTTTTCTTCAAGGGGGTACGGGTGGCCCAGTCATGTAAAGCGCTACAATTCGCTTTGCAGAATTGCGTCCCTTTGGCACGCCAGAAACTAACGAGCGTGGGTTCGAATCCCGGCGATTATACAACCGAAGCGGCCTGTAAGGCGCAGGAAGGTTAACAGACCATTACCATCTCATCCTACCGGCTACCCATTCACTGCCGGGTGTACAGCGGTATATTTGGAAATACGTCAATTGCCTTTGGAGAAACCACAGGTATCACCAGAGCTTCATACGAGGCTGACTCGTAGATTCAATACAGACCAATAAGAACGGAGATTCTAAAAGGGCTGTTGTTTAATAATAACTATTGACTTGATTATATACTACTCCAAAAGAATCTAAGGACCATCCGATTCTTTCATTTTACTATATTAGTTAATCTGTCACGCGATGACAGATTTACTGCAGTAATATGAAAGAATGGGTTTGTTCTTATTTTCTTTTGAGTTTGTTTGTTTGTTGTTTAACGCCACACTCAGCAATATTCCAGCTATATGGCGGTAGTCTGTAAATAATCGAGTCTGGATCAGACAATCCAGTGATTGACATCATGAGCATCGATCCACGCAGTTGAGATACGATGACATGCATCAACCAAGTCAGCGAACCTGACCATTCTTTTGAGTGGAATATCTAAGGTTTTAAAGTAGTTTTTATTTACGTGCTTCATGTGACGTGTTTCTAATTATGAAGAATACTTAAATATTACAATGATTTTCGTCTGGCACAGCTATCTACTGCCCATATCCAGTGTTATCTGATAAGCTATTGGAGACATCCTGCAAAGGAGTTTACACGGAGGGTATGGTGTGTAAGCTCAAGTGCCCAATGGCCATCCACCTGATTGGGACTCGTTTCATCAGATGCACCCGGCCTGCAAGTGGCTATACTGGCTACTGGGATGGAGATGGAGATGGAGAGCCACAGTGTAAAAGTAAGTACAACCAAGAAAGGCTACTGATTATAACTTTCGTAGCATCGGGGATTAAGGATATTACTTGAACAGCAAATGCTTTGTGAAAGGTACTGCTTTGCATTTCACTGATTGTATAACAGAAATATACAGTGGCCCATACCCGCCACTGGTGAGATCATTTTTCACTGTATGCCTCTATATTTTATCTGGCGGCCGCCAAATACTTCCACTGGAGAGATAATTTTTCCCTGTATACCTTTATATTATCATAAAATGATCTCACCAGTGGAAGTATCTGGCGGCCACAAGATACAATTTAGAGGCATACAATGAAAAATGATCTCACCAGTGGCGGATATGGGCCACCGTTGAAATACGTTGTTGTTGTTGTTTGTTAATTCTATTTACAACAGTCAATATATGATAAGCAAACAATTGCTAAATGTGTTTATTCATTTAAAAAAGGGGGGCACGGATGGCCAAGTCGTCTTAGGCGCCGCGATTCGCCAGAAACCTATGATTGTGGGTTCGAATCCCGGTTCGCCCCGATTATGTTTCTAGGTTTGTCAGCACCATACCCGTGCTCGTGGGTTTCAACGAAGTGGTAAACGTCTGAGACCTCCATCACTTTGGGCTTTCCTCCCACATTAAGCTGACACGCCGCGATATAACTGGAATACTGTTAAAAGCGGCGTTAAACCCTACTCACTCATTTAAAGAAGTAGCGGCTTAATGTTGGGGTCCCACTTCATTTCGAAAACTCTACTTATGAATAGATAGATTAGATTTCTGGATGACTGGCTCGCTAAGAAACAATTTTTACAATTAACATAAATAGGCTTACATAAGGAAGCGTTGAGAGGTAGAGATTTATAGCTGGAGTAGTCGGCGGAATTTCGTACTGTAGGAAAATACTCTTTCGAAAGCTCTACTGGGAGACACAAATGCCAAATAGTGAAAAGCAGCCTCGCGATTTAATATCTTGTGGTTGTGAGATTAATCCAGCAGGTGTGGCAATATATTTCGCTATTTTGAAATTGAAAAGTTCAACTTCTCAATTACAATTAAACCAAAAATTTGGAAATTACTCCATTTTGATTGGTCAAGCAGAGGAATCAAATCACAGTAAGCACCTCTGATTGAAACAGTCGATTTGACGGCCGGATCACCACGAAGGATAATATTTTTTAAAAAGTAATTATTTCCCAGTCACTGTCGGTTGGCATATCTAAACAATTAAATGTGCCATTGAATGCACTACAATACAAGAGTATTCAAAGTAAGTGTGACAAGAGATTTTGGGGAGAAATCACGATAGAAATCGACTAAGAGAGTATATTTCAAGTTTAAGGGACCAAAGAGAGGGCTTGCAACTTGGTGTTTTTATATACGTGGTCAGTTCCAAATTCAACTTAGCTCGGTTAAATCTACAGGTAACCTAGCTCTACATTGAAAACACAGTATGTGTATATATTAATTGAAGCCACGTTTTAGCGTTTATTCAAACAGTTTCAAACCATGCGTGTAATGAATAGTAATTTCACAAACCTCCATCGGGCAGAACAAGCACTACATAACCTACTTTCACAAATAATCCTATCAAAGGTGAAATGTGAGGTGGAATGGGTGTTAACGTTGCGTTACGCGCGCGCGTCTGTGTTGGACCACTGAGATACCATGCCGCAATTTAACATGGATACTCCATTTAGACACAGTATACTGACTCCGTGCCTTCCAGTCCTTGTTTTATCCCCTAAATGCCGAACGCGAGGCAGGGGAACAACAAGTAACGTCTTTTGGTATGAAGGGACCGGGGATAGAACCACCGAACTTCAGCTCTGCGGGCAGACGCTCTATCCACTGGACCACGGGAGAGGTCAAATAGTATCATGCGTATTTATCAAAGACCCCCTAATGGAGAGGGGTCCAGGCTGATAGTGCGTCTGTGACCTCGAAAGCTTCAATCATCGCTCATACCTTCGTAAAATGTCATTACCTCGCTCTCATTGATTTATGTTGTAGAACCAACATGTCCACCATTGCCTGCACCTAACAATGGCGCTCTTGTTTGTGACAAATGGAGCGGCGGTTTCATGTGCCAGATCCAGTGCAACGAAGACTATGATATTCCATCCAGTCCTACCTTTCCGACATACGTCTGCCAAGATAATGGTGTTTGGAATAACCAACATGTACCAGATTGTGTATGTAAGTATAAACATGTCCACTAAATAGACGATAGACCTAAATGAGATGTGGTGTCAGATGTATGTCGCGTCATGAGGTAAGGAATGGATGTTTCTGTATCAGGCGTTCAGAAACACGATATGTCCTGTTGTGGAAGTTGAAAAGAGATAGGATATAAGCTTTAATTATACATTGTATATATGACGTCTTACGTATACTATACTCGTACTGATTACAAAGGGAAAAGAAACAGAATTCCATGTTACAAGGAGCGAAATCCCAATCTTTTTATATATACGGTATTTTGAGTTACCCTCGCGTAACCTTGATTCGTGGATATAAGGAAAGTTCACCCAAATTCGTGGTTTAAATGTCCGATTTTGTTTTGTATACTCACTGATCATTTAATTCATCTATTAAACTATAAGAAAATGACGAAGATTCCACTCGTGACTGAAAAGTTTGTTTACCGAAGCCATTTGCATTCATCAGCCATTCATGTGCACACAAAATGTGACGTAACCTTGATTCGTGGATTACGTAGTAGATTATTGTATCGCTATGTACGAAAGCCCAGTACCGTTACTATGTAATATTTTTTTTATAAATTCGAATATATACCTACCAGCATTTCTGTGTCGGCTGATAACAGTTGAAGAGCATAGTTATTTAACACACAACTCCAAAACGAATCTTGTCAATAAAGTTATGTACACTATTTACATGTAAGTTTGTGTCCTCATTCAGTCCTACTCTTCCGATGGTTTGCGTCATGGGTTTGTGTCATGCGTCCGAAGCACGCGCACTGGACAACAATACTGTAAGTGCACCCAGTGGTTACAGTCATGATAGATGCACTGCCCCCACTGTACGAAAAACAGTGATGTGCATTGGGCCAGTTCAGAGGGCTGAAAGTGATGACACACGCAACATGTTTCGTCATCGGATATTGGCGAATCCTCACTGTCACTGCTGTATAGTAGATTAATCGCAGCGGATGGTCCCGCTGCTGGCTTGGTGGTACTTTTATGTTTCTTTTGAGATTGTTCAGCTGATGTATGTGACTTTGCTGGTCGTTTCTTGGTTGGTACTGGCTGTTTAGAAGTTGAACTTTTAACATAGTTTTTAACTTGAATTTCTATCTCTGGTTCAGTTATGGCTTTGCCGCTAACGATCTTGTGGATAGATCTACGTGGTTTTCTTTGCTTCTTCTGAATGACGGGAAGCTGGTCAACAAAGAATTGGGTTTGGTCAAAGTTAGTGACGAGATTTTCCTTCTCAACGTTAGAGTTGGAACGTGGGCTGTGTACTTCGTCAGTAGCTGGTACTTGCTGCGACTTGTCTTCAACGTGTGATGCGTGGATAAAAGCAGCTGGTTGGAATGCAGATTTATTAATCATATCTGGCGAAAAGGGATAGATACTTTCTGAATGCCGACTGCAAGTGACCAGGCGTTAAAGCAGCAGAATATGCCCTGCAGGCTTACGGAGGCGATGTTATATCTGTTGACTGTGGTACCACCAGACTTCAACAGCTTCTGACATTCGGCATTATAGATTTTTGTAAACGGACCGAAACATTCCACGTCCATTGGCTGCAAAATATGACTTGTGTGAGCCGGGAGGACAAACAACACAATATTGTGATCTTTTGCCCAGTCTATCAGAGACGGAGAAATGTGCGACTTGTGGCCATCGTACAGAAGAAGCAAAGGTCTATTCGGCGTTGCTGGAGATACATATCGAAGGAAATGCCTGTCCAAGTAATCTTGGAATATAACACCATTTGACCATCCCGATTCAGAAACAGTTCCGTCACTTCCCGCTGTACAGCCTTCAAGCAATTCACTGCACATCCTAGCACCCGCAAATACAAAGAAAGGTGGAATAAATGTGCCCAGAACATTTCCACATCCCAAAATTGTGACGACAGACGATCTCTCCGAAGAAATCTCGTAGGCAACGGAATTTCTTGAGCCAACAATTTTCGGTGCGACATGGGACTGGTTGATTCCTCTGGTCTTGATTGGAAACCGTATTTGTCCATAATCATGGCAAGTTCATCAACATATTTGTTGATGCATTCCTCTGAACTTGCTTTGGCACGAAGTTCCGTGAGAGACTTGGCACTTCTAACTTTCAACTCCGGTCATCGCTCCAACAGACCATATAACCACTTGACAGATAATGGATGGGACAGGTCACGTTTTCCTTACTGACAAGCAAAGTTAGACCCTAATTGGACAACCTCTTTCCTGGTATATCCGTATCCGATGGATGCAATGTATGTTACATGGTTAACAAGTCTAGTTTCCTGCTCCGCATAAAAAAAATGGAGTTGCACCTGACTTAACAGTGTCAACATTGATCTTGCCTTTTAACCCTTCTCTCAGTGTTTGCTCGGGTACAGAGAAGTTTAATGCCGCTCTATGAACTGCAACTTTATTGTTTTTGACTTCCAAGTAAGCATTGGTCAAAGCTGTAGGCGAATAACTTTTGTATCCCTGTCGCGAAAGCGTCGGTGAACTCTATGAAAATGAAAAAAAGCTAAACGAGATGGCCCGAAAATGTTTCCATATATTTATAATTTTAACAGACGGCCGCACCTGAAGTCACGAGACTTATGTTTATTGACATCAAGACAAGCAGACGACGAGAGATGAGAAGGGTGGTGCTTACAGTATATATTTTATTTGATGTTTTGTAAATATGAAATTTGGTATTTGTGATCTAGGGCTATTTATCTCAGTGTTGGACATTTGGTTTTTCTGTACTTACGTGTAATGCTTCGATTCGGAACATTTTTGTCAGCAAGGCGTGGAAGTGTGTGTACATCAAAAGTACCGCTGTGTGACGTCATACGAGACTTAATTAACGAGATATCACGATAATTACCGCGATCCACGAATCAAGGTTATCCACGAATTTAGGTGACGGCGCGTCAGTTTGATGTGGGAGGAAAGCCCGAAGTAATGCTGGTCTTAGACGGATTCCGCTTGTGTTGAAACGTACGAGCATGGGTATGGAGCTGACAAATCTGGACACATAATCAGGGCGAACCGATATTCGAACCCACAATCATCTTTTTCTGACACGTAAAGGGGCGCAACTCTGCGCGGCGCCTTGGACGACTAGGCCACCATATCACAGATTTAGGGTAGAAAGTTCTTTTTGTAAGGAATATCATCAAAAGACATTTTTTTTAATTTTCAGATCGTGAGTATGGCGAGCCATTAAGGATGCCGAAGAATTACTATTTTACAGGACAGTGTCATCCCGGTCATTCAGAAGTGAAGAATTCATTTCTGGACTACGCAGAGGCTCGTGATATATGCCCAAATCGTGCACATTGCACTGTGGAAAACGTGGAGATAAAGTGTGGGGATGAAGTTGGTGATGAATTTGAGGATGATGTGTTCTTTTAATCACCAACACGTGTGTCAAATATGTAAATGTGTGTCAAATATCTTTTTAATGGTGTGGCATAATACACATATATCACCTGCATGGCAAAATTCACATCATATTTTAATTGTTTGAAAAGTCTAACACACAATGTGTCAATAAGTGAAATAATTTCATTGAGATAAATTAAGTACAGGTTGGTGGATATTCTGTATCTTCAAGAAAAATAATTTCATTCAAAAGCAATTGTCATGGACTCTTCTTCATATGCAAGCTTCTGGAAATATTAAACCTGTCTTGGCTGGCTGCTCGTGACTGGTTCTTGATCTTTTAAATGGGCGGGCGAAATAAACCCACATACAATACTTCATATTAGATCGAGCTCGAACTCAAGATTTGTTATCGGGTTGTTCTGAAGTCCGGCTTCTGACGTTAAAAAAAATGGAATGGGTGATCAAGTCAATATAATTTTTTTATTTGAAGTTTACACGATATACTGCTTGTCCATTGGACGAGAGGTCGGTCACATGACCGCGAAATTGACGTTCATAAGTGTATGAACGACATAATTTGACGTTCATACGTTTTTCACGAGACCGTGTTCTTGAAATGACGTAAGAACTGACGGACTACTTCCACATTCCTGGGGAAACCCCTGGGAATTCCCTAGAACGAAATCATGCATAAACGTTCTCTCTGATCATTTAGAACTTATATTCTTGGTCTCTGCGTTTCAGTATTTATTGAGAAATGTCAGAGAGCGTGACTGCATGATTGTTCACGAATATCCTCGCTACGGCCAATCCTAATGAACAAACGAAGAAATGCAGTATCGACTCGATCCGTGCGTAGGCTGACATTGACCGTCTCACACAAAGTGAAAGTCAATTCTTAAGTACAGTTAGTGGAGTTCTTAAAGTTCCCATCATCAGTGAAAATGTTCCAAAGATTTCTACTTGATTCTGATTTGTCAGAACTTGGAAGTTAACTCTGGTTAAATAGATGCCATCGATGTATCTGATGTCTATATGTCAGTTTAAGATAACTTCGGTCTCTGTCTTAAGTAGCGAACATACTAATATAACACTTGACACGCGGAAAAAGGTTATCGATAAATATTCAAGAACTGGGAATGGCATATTTATCGAGAAAGTTCGTGTTTGACAAAAAATTGGATATCCCCACGTCTGCCTCTTAACAAAAAGCATCATTAAATGTAAAGGTAACAGGTGTGGGTGAGTCGACCTATTTGGTTAAAAGGGTCCCGTGAAGATTCCGGGTTAGAATTGGTTTTCAGCAACCTATTCTTGTAAGAGGCGACTTACGGGATCGGGTGGTCAGGCACGCTGATTTAGTTGATGCATGTCATCATATCCCAATTGCGCAATTCGATGCTCATGATGTCAGTCACTGCATTGTCTGGTACAGACTCGATTATTTACAGACCGCCGATATATATTGCTGAGTGTGGCGTTAAACAACAAACAAACAAAACATTTAGAATATAAATAAACGTCGGATTGTTTTTTCAGTGAAATAGTAGTCACAACAGAATGGGCAGAATGTGGGGCAATGTTATCTGTACATTGAATAATGCTACATTTGATAGTAAGCTTACGCATTATGTAAAGTATACACTGTAAAATCTCACCCTTTGGCCCGTTATAGTAAGATAAGCAATGCACTCCCAACCGTACCATTTTTTTATACAAATATGAAACGCTCTGTTTACATTGACCGACTCCGTGGTCTAGCGGATAGAGTGTCTGCCCGGAGAATAGAATGTCGTTGGTTCGATCCACTGGCCGCTTCATATCAAAAGACGTTAAAGTATGGTACTGCCTGGCGCTCGGCTTTAAGGGGATAAAACAGGACTCGGCCCAGAGTCAGTATCATGTGTTTAATGTGAGAGCGGCATGGTATCTCAATGTACTAGCACTATAAAACCGGGGTAATTCTGGACTAGCCGCACACACACACACACACACACACACACACACACACGTGCATGCAGGTCGCTATATGAGTGCCATAATTTTGAACGTGACGTCAAAAACCATTTCACCTCCCTTGTGGGAGCCGGAAAAATGGCAATAATAAACACAGTTAAAGAATAAAAATCCCAAATCATCAAAAGCCACCAGTTCCTAACAAGACAAATCTATATAACAAGTTTCAACAAGAAATATTTAACGGTTTTGGAAACAGCAAACGGACGACTGGACATGCTGATCGCTATATCCCCCCGTTTCTCAAACTGGGGAGATAATAAATACCTCATGCTTTAATACTTAGTGACACTGGTGGTTCTGTACACGATGGTGTTGGAGCTTTGCGTCGCTAAGGACATGCAGGACGATTAAGTGAGTTTTGTTTTAGGCGGCTTTAAACTGTGTGTCATGCAGTTATATATCACGGCGTGGCAACTGAACTTGACAAACGCCTTTGGTGAAACCCACGACCAGGGATTAATATTGGTGCTATTCTGGATTCGAACCCACACTTTTGACCACAAAGCTACCGTGCTGTCCAGGGCACATAGGACTACTACATCACACACTGCTCAATCAATAACAATAGTAATCTAATGACAAGTTCGGGTGGAGTCCGGCGCAGTGTCGGCTAATAGGTATTGTCAGATTTCATCAGACTGAAGTAGTGTATCGCCTCACATTATCGCATGGAGGTGGGGTAGCCGAGTATATCTCTAAAAGAGGCGTAATACCAAACTCACTCACTCACATTATCGCCTGGTGCTTTTTGCTTGGTAAGGGTCCCGTTCCACAAAGCGATTTTAGCGCTAAGACGAGCATGACTCTCATACTTTTACACAAACTCACAATTGTAGCTCTAAAATAGCTTTGTATACCAAGAACGGGGTCCTGTGCACAATACACCATACAATGCGAACATACTGAAATGGCACTTGACACTATGAACAGCAGCGAGCTTTGGAACAATCAGTGGCTATTCCAAAATCGAAATCGAATGAATAAAAAGATCAACTTTATTTCGAAAACACAATCAGATTAAATCTTAACATGATCAGAACTATCAAAACGTTTAATAAATTCATATGTACATTAAAATACAGCTTTTAGATTCAGAAGTTCAACTACTAGTATTGCCCAGGGCCCCGTTCCACAAAGCTATCTTAGCGCTAAGGTGATCGTAACTCCCATACTGTAACACTGGCTTACGATAGTCGTAGCGCTAAGATCACTTTGTGGAACGGTGCCCTGATTACTAAGATCATATACAGTGAAATCCGACAATCAGGGCGACACTGTTCCTCATTAAACCAGACGGATTGAAAATAATCCTGATTAACAAACCCAGGTTTGTTTGTTTGTTTTTTAACGCCACCCTCAGCAAGATTCGAGCTAATTGACGGCGTTCTGTAAAATAATCGAGTCTGGACCAAACTCTCCAGTGATTGACATCATGAGCATCGATCCACGCATTTGGGATAAGATGACATGCATCAACCAAGTCTACGAGCAAGACCACCCGATCCCGTTAGTCGCCGCTTACGACAAGCATCGTCGCCTTTTACGGCAAGCATGGGTTGCTGAAGACCGATTCTACCCCGGGTCTTCATTGGTCAAGGAGCCGAGTGTAATGCCCTTTGTACCATTTAACGTTTTAGAGAAATTCATGCATATGCTTCCCCATCCCCCTTTCCTTGAAGCATATAACGTTTCGTGACACATTTTCGACACAACTAAATTGACCAATTTAACAAACGCAAATTGTTTCCCGAATAATTTGCATTCATTGTTGTATACTTAAAGCGCACCACTTTCCCCCAGCGTTACACATTTCAACCACATTAAAATATGAGGTGAAATGAAAATGATTAAACGATTAAATTCTTAGGACAGCAAATACTACAGCTAGATGGCACACTTGAAAAGTCAATGGAAAAGAGAACATGAATGGAAAATGTATATTATTTGACATCAACACCTTCAACCCAAACCCAATAAAAAGACCCCGAACTCATTGTAGTTTGACATAGTTGGAAAATAAATCCTTTGAGCAAACATGACCTAAATTTTGAACTTTTATCCAATACTGGCGTTGAAATATATGTGTTCACGAATATATTTTCACAAACAATATAACTAATTATATATGTCCCGACACGCCCATTTTAAGCATAAAACATACCAGACATACTTTCACAAAATGTGGACACAAACCTTACATGAGATAATAGGTGAAAAATGGTTGACATGTCTTCTCAGAATTCCGGCGTATGAAAAAATACCATAAGCTTTTATACTGTATGATATTGATGGTTTTGTAAACGATAGTGGAGTTTTTTTCGTCCTCAAGACACGCACTTTAAATATGTTGCGTCCTTTCACACTTTGTATGCGTACAGGACGCACAATAGTGCGTCCGGTTTGTTTGTTTGTTTTTTAACGCCGCACTCAGCAATATTCTAGCTATATGACGGCGGTCTGTAAATAATCGAGTCTGGACCAGACAATCCAGTGATCGACAGTATGAACTGGGATACGCTGACATACATCAACCAAGTCAGCGTGCCTGACCACCCGATCCCGTTAGTCGCCTCTTACGACAAGCATAGTCTCCTTTTACGGCAAGCACGGGTTGCTGCAGACCTATTCTACCCCGGAACGTCACGTAAAACCTAGAGTAAATGTTTGCGTCACGCCTTATGTTTCAGCTATATGTAGGTTGAAGACTTTAATGAAACCAGAAAGAGAGATTGATAGCATCAGCATCATGTCCCTATTCCATTTTAATGGCATTTTACAAGCATGGTGTATTGGGAACCTATCCCGACTTAGGGACCCAAACTATACATAGTAAATACATGTGACGTATTAAAATAGCGTTGAGTAATAGAAATATTACATGTCAGTCACAAGCAACGAAATTATAGTCATTAACACAAATCGACAGTTCATAATAGAAACAGAAATAAGTCTGAAAACCGGCGAAATACCCTGCAGGAAAGTACAGATATCTACATAGGGAGTTGAAAGAAGAAAGTATTGGGCCGACTCATTAAATGATTGAAACACGAGTTCTCTGACCGTATCATCTGTCATGGATTAAACCTCTGCCATATCGACAGTACCAAAGGTACATATTGGTACCTGTGTTTTCAGACCCGTGGCAATTAGTACAAGTTGATACTCATGGTACGTAATTCATGAACAAGCTCAATCACCTCTTATTTCACAAGAATATTCTGATGTCGTGATTATAAACAATATTATGTATGCCCCCCCCCCCCCCCCCCCCCCACACACACACACACACACACTAAAAAAAAAAGAAAAAAAGAAAAAAAAAGAACCTTCCGTCTTTACGAACGTTTTACTTCTAAACCTGAAATCGCTTGCGTTAGGAAAACACTATGGAGCAGTCCGCAAATCTGTGTAGCGACAAGTCAATATCGTCAATGGGTAGCAACAGAGAAACAGTCACCGCAGCTACACGTTCATCCATCGGACGACGGGTTCTCCAATCTGATTTACTCGAATAAATCGCGGATGCAATGGACATGCCAACGATTTGAATATTGCAAACACAAGAATGTTTCAGAATATTTTCTCAAGGTGTTGCAACCAACATATTATAACAAACGTTTTCTTGGCTTTCGTCTTTTTCGAAAATGTATGACTGGATCATAAGCCGTACGCATTCAGATTAGGAAGTATAATTTGATTTTCATCCATGTCTTTCGAAAATGTGAGATGGGAGGCATTGTATTTTTCCTGTCATCAAAGTGTGTTCAAGGCATTGTGTACATTCACTGTCGACGTATGTGATTGAACTGTAGCTGGACTACGTTTTCGGCATAATTCATCACTTGGCATAATTAAAGAAAGAAGATAATACACGAATTTCTTCGTACTTGGGTGTAATCTAATAACTAACTTATTTTTGTCTTAAATGGCGTGTTGTTTGACAGCCAACTCAAGTGAACCACATACCTACCTCCAACTATTAAGCATCTAGAGATGGCCCTTGTCCTAAATTAAACAAAATGTCTTGATTTCAGTTCTGGTAGCAGAACCATCCAACTGAACAAGATCTGCAAAATTCATGGGCGTAGAGCCAGTACCTGTCACTATACAAGTTTGTCCTTTCGTACAAACGATACATTAATAAGTTTGACTTTACAATATGTAGCAGCGTTAAAACACCAACCCATTAGACATGGCTGGTAAATATCACAAAAGGCCACTAGAATATAGGACCTTTAACCTGCTGAATAGGCAAATTTGACAGCGACTGCCGTAACACCGATACCTAGCCCCATAGACTTAACAGTAGTCGTTTCCCAAGTTCAACGGGACCGAAGTTCTGGGATGAACTTTGATTCATATTACCCACTGCACTAATGAGTATGTGAATAGGAACGTCACTTCGCATAGTGAAGCCTTTTGTGAAAAATAAGAAACATCCTGAAGGTGAGTGTATAGATCTGAGGGGGTAGTTACATACTGTATGTGTACTCTATAATATGAAGAATCATATCACATGACATATTAATCTTCAATGTACCTTTGTACCCTAGATTAGAAAAAAAAAAGAGAAGCTTTAATGCTTTATGAACTAACGAACTAAATGAATGTGAGATAAACAGATTGATAATCCTTTTTTTCATCAACCTACACTCGACATTTCAATGACCTGTAGTTCAAGACGTCATATATTCTCCTCTCTCTGCCTGACGAGTTGACTTTTCCATCATGGGGTTGATCTTATACAGCCGCCATAGACTCTGAATGATGTCTCCCAGGACAATCTCATTCGTGTTCTTGCCGACCACTCGGAGGACGAAGATGCCGTCACTGCGGAGATACTGCTCTGCGAACTTCCGGGCCAACTTCCGGTCGTCGTCTCCATGAAGCTCGTCCATGACCTTGAGATACTTCTTGACATAACCAAATTGCTTCACGCGCACGTTGTTCCTGACAAACCAAAACAGGAAGTTTGCAATGGTGATGGTTGCCACGCACACGTACCAGAACCACAGGAAGGCAAAGATTCTTTCGTTTAGAATGTTGTAGGGCAGGTTGCAGTGAAGTGTAAATGGTTGGATGTTTGTAAACTGGCGAACCTTAAAGTCGCACAACGTTTCGAATGGGAAACGGGGATTCTTCAACATAAGGTCGCTGTTGTCTGACATGAGCGAATTGATAACCTCGAAACCATACAGACTGTACCATTGTCCAAGGAAGGCATTCAAGAGGTAGAGCTGACTGAGGACCACGATAATGTAAAGAAGCTTAATGAAGATGTAGAGTCGCGTCAGATACACCCCATCTCGCTTGCCGCACATACAGCAACACATCCTAGACATCCGGTGACGTATGCGCACGCATATATTCCAGTGATAGTCTCGGTGAGCCTGAAGCCATCGGTTGATATACTGTGCCATATGCCTAATCGTTTCTTCTGACTTCTCGGCCGGACACAGTTGAGTATCAACCGCCATAGTAACCAACTTGTCAAGGCTCAACCCAGTCGCGCCATTGAACAATCGCCAGAATACAGACGGAAGCTTGAAAAGGAATGCCATGAATAGAAGGATTATGGGAACCCATTGATAGTACGGAATTTCGGTCGACTTCCGGTGTTCCTCTTGAGAAGGGATCGCATCATCCACGTGAACATAGTATGTGTTTTTAACCCAGCAGAGTGACTTGACATAGGCAACCCGTGCTGCAGAAAAGTCGGGTGGACAGAAACATTCAATAGGATTGCCAAGGAATTGACCATAACCCACAAACACAGCAAATACCGTCAGGATGATGACAGTGTACAGGTGATTTAGTCGGTCTACCCAGTCATCGTCACTGCTGGACCGAAGCTTTGCAAATGTGGCAAAACCACCCAAGATATAGTTGATGCTGAAAGGAAAAAGAAGATTAAAGGATTTTCTATATCTTAAAGGTAACATCATTTATTGCAGTACTGGTTGTTGTCCTATGATTCATGTACATGTATTCGCTTCAGTGTTTCCCTGGGGAGATTTTCTCTCATAGATAAAAAAGTTACCAGTGTATTAACAAATCTGTTGTTCGTCAAACTTTGGCATTGTAAAGCCTAGACAAAAAAAAGACTGAAAATGATAATGCCTTTAACAGCCTCACCAGGCCAGTATTTCTTCATATTTACTAGTAACCCTTGCTGGACAATACGTATTCAATTAATCCACGGCTCTGGTATCACAGTTGGGACTAGGGACATGACGAGTTTTTATTCGAAGGTTTCTATTTAAATTGGGTTATTACATTTTTCATTTTTCAGACAGTAAATAAATACAACCGAGAATGACTGTATATGCAACTTGTGAACGTGGTTTATCCAAAGTAAAGAGACCCGATTGATCACGATCCAACTAGTCATATGCCCATGTGCCAGTGATATTACTTACAGCACAACAAATTGTTAAAATCGTAGTGGTCATTTTGATATTGAAAAATATGAAATATGAGGCTCCTTATCTTATCTAGCCATAGCATAATGACGGGACAGACAATGACTTAGTATGTGCAATATGGTGATGGAAAAATGGATGATATTCGTTTAAAACCTATTGCTACAGTTTACTATCAATTAGCTGTGGAAATAAACAAACTGTATAGGGTGTACAGGCAGCTTCCTGCCAAAGGTCATTTGAGCGCTAAACATTACCATTTAAGAAAATATAGTTAATATAACAAAGATCTTAAATACGTGAAACAGTCTAAATGTTCAGTCAGCAGTTTAACTGGTGGAAACTCCAAAATACTTACGACATGGCCTAGCTTTTCCCACCAAGACCCACCAGTAGTGTGTGACTGTGATTCCTGAAAAGAGAACAATTGTAAAATATGAAGTACAGGTCACTTAAACAGGGATTATCCTGGGCATGTTACCTGTAAGAGAAAGATCACCCGTGGTCAAAAGCAATGAGAATTTGGGGAGTGTGATGAGATTTTGCTCATATCAGAGATATTTCACCTTCAAACATTGGAAACTGTATTTCATTTTCGTTAGTTGTGACCTGAATTATGATGCAGTTTATGTTACAATATTATATAGATATTTCCTGGAGTATCCTATTTTCGAACACTTAATTATTCCACTGCGAATATATGAAATGTGTAAATTATTGGACAATGAGCATTGTGAGCTGAAATAAAATACTACTCACATTATTATTTATGTATTTCTATTCATTGCCGAATTTAGGAGGAATCATAAAATACCAATTACATTTTATATTTCTGCATTTATATTCATTGTCGACTTTAGGAGAAATTATAACATACCAATTACATTAATATTTCTGTATTTCCGTTCATTGTCGACCTTTGGAGGAATTATTCTGATTACAATCATAGTTCGTTATGCAGACGTGTTTACCCCGATCAGCTGTTCATTTCTTTGGCATGCGGGAGAAAACAATATGCAATTATCGAGGTATCTGCTGGTATATAAGTTAGGCTATTTGCCTTAATACCTTGAAGAGCACGGTGAAGAAACTTTGTTAAGTGGGAGGACTGAGTGGGAAGAGATCAAACCATTCCCTGATGAAGATCCGGGATAGAATAGGACTTCAGCAACCCATGCTTGCCACACTCAGCGATATTCCGGCTATATGACGGCGGTCTGTAAATAATCGAGTCTGGACCAGGCATTCCTGTGATTGACATCATGAGCATCAATCCACACAATTGGGATCGATGACATGCATCAACCAAGTCAACGAGCCTGACCACCCAATCTTCCACCATTGACAAGCATAGTCGCCTTTTACCGCAAGCATGGGTTGCTGAAGACCTATTCTTCCCCGGATCTTCAGACGATGTTTATGAGTTACATTTGACTGATTGAATCACATTTAACCTATTTATGGACAAATCTCGAAGCAAACGTAACATAGCGTTTTCTAAAGTCTCTAAATCCAACTGAAAAATTCGTAAAAAACGCACGGTGTCCATTCTTGCACGAGGGTACGTTCGCGAAAACTCTTCCACCACCGACGTCTTATCTAAGGAGTAGGGGAATAAACAAGTGGGGATTGTTTATCGTACAATAGAACACTGCAGGCAGAATAAACCATAAGGGGCGCAGCATAATGTACAACCTCTTTCAGGATGTCAATCAGATGTACAAGCTTTAAAAATACATGTATTTACCCGTGTTTCAATACAATCTGTATCTTTTCTCCCAAGACCGATTGTCACATGTCGCCCACATTTGGATGCGATCATTCGGCCAAAACGTTTGTTTGCGTTGTCCAGCAACATCTATGGGAAACAACTCACTAGCCACTTCCCTCTAACATTTTACGACGCAAGATGCAAGCGTATGTTCGAATGCCTTGAAATGACGTCATGATAGAACAATGTTTTATCGTGAAATAAACCACGGTTTGCTCTTCTTTGTTCTTTGCGATTTATCTCGTTGCAATCATATATTCTAAAATACGATCGTCTGTGATCTTAAAATATGTAAACAGTAAACTACGGTTATAACGAACTCAAATGGGCCACTAATCTTAGTTCGTTATAACCGTGGTACTTACAAGCATATATGCAGCGAATGGCGACCAAAAACGTTAGTTACATCCGTCAGTTGTTATAAACGTGTTCGTAATAAATGTATTTTACTGTACATTATTATGGAGAAATAGCTGTGAGTGTATCCATTTAGTTTTTGTTTTGTTGTCATTCCATAATCGAAATTTTACGTTTTGATTTCTGTGAAGGAGATTTCCGAAAACTCGCCATTATTTTTGCACATGAAGCAGGTTGGAGGTCGTCACTAATGTACTCACAAAGTGCGAAACTGATGGAGGTCACTTCTTCGATCAAATGATTTCATGTTTTGAGTTGATCGATTCGATAAAACGGAGCAGTGCAAGTGCTAAACTATTGGAGGGCCACATGCATACGAGTCATGGAAAATAGGTCAAGCTTTCTTTCTGTGACCAATGTATCGGAGACAACATGTCGGTTTGTGCGACTCAGAACATTTTGTTATCAGTCTGAATTGGTTGTGAACTCAGATTTTGAAACATTACCGTAAGTATCTTGATAACTTTCAAGAACATTATTGTCAGAATTTTGAATTAGGCAGGTTATATTTAGATAGTCAGGATAACTTTGATGATAATTGCGACACCGAACTATACTTGGCAAGTCAGATGATAGAAGAATCAGGAATTATTGGCACACGTGTGTCTGAGACACAGTTCAATTCCGAAATTTAGATTCGTTAAAGGGTGACAATGTAAGTTCTGAGAAAGCTGTACGGGTAACGCAGTTGGAAACCAATCTAGACTATGAAAAGCTTCGGTTCAGTACTCCCCTTTCTGAAACTGATATGGTACGGTACCTTTGTGCGATTCAGCGTATTCTGTGGATACGATATCTTGTCACACCGGTATGCGATCCGTTCTTTGTGCAAAGATGAAATTATTAGCTCCGAAAGGGAGTTGAAAAACGACATCCGGATGTCATCACTGAACAGCAGGAAGAAGTACTTTGGGAGACAGGTGTACTCGGAGAAGATACACCACAGAAGCTCTTGGACACCCTCGTCTCACGGTGTCCATTCTTGCACGAGGATATGTTCGCGAAAACTCTTCCACCATTGACGTAATTTACGTTGAACTTTGCCCTTAGGGGAGGATGATGAACGCAGGTACCTACGCAGTGGTTGATGTTCACAGTTACATTTTTTTTACGTCAAGCAATTGAAATATACTGAGGACATTTTCAAAACAAACAGAGGGGACTGAAGCACAGGAAGGTTGAAAGAAAACACGTGACCATCTCTAGTAATGAGGAACACCCTGAAAGATACCTCGTCAGACTGTACGACAAGTACATGTCATTAAGGTAAATATAATTCTCTCACGAGTTCACAACTAATATTATGAACATGAACAGGTAGTTCCTCTGCGACGTTTCATTAATGAAACCTATCATAGTGGCTGTACCTGTCTGTGTAACGTAATGTGCACCTGATAATCATATTTTGGATAAATTTACCTATATACGTTCTTATGGTCTAATGCACTACGTTCTTTGTTCTGTCAGCTGCATGCACTGGTGACAATTCACTTTGTTTTCCGACCAGTACAGACCGCCTCCGTGGTCTAATGGTAGAGCATCCGCCCGGAGAGCGGAAGGTTTGATCCCCAGCCGCGTCCTACCAAAAGACGTTAAAAGTGGTACTTGTTGTTACCCTGTCTGGCAACCCCCCCCCCCCCCCCCCCCCCCCCCCCCTCACACACACACTACACACACGCTATATAAGTGCAATAATCGTTAAACCCCATTTCACCTCACCTCACCTCCGACCAGTATTTGCGCTGGTTACGATATACTGTTGGCAAGGTTCGGTATGCTGAATGATGCGGCCGCTGGGATTCATCCACTCCGGTCTAGCGCACAAATCACTCCCTCAAAACAACAACAACTCCGATTTACGACTGCGGAGTAGACGAACAGTTAACTGCAGAGGAGAAGGGGCATGAATCGGTTGCAAGTTACAAAGTATAAACGTTAACTACACGTTTGTGTATTTCCAACAATTCTTTAATTCTGGTACATGGTGTTACCTGCTTGTAGATGCAACATTACCGTGGATATTAGAGGGCGCGATAATGCATTCTGGCGATCGCCCAACTTTAGATCAAAGTCCCGGGGTTCGAATCCCAAAACTATTTCTATATATTCAGTGAAGATAGGTTTTCTGCAAGCAGGCTGACGCTCATTCTACAAATAAAACTAAGCTGACGTGGAAATGAAGGTTGCATTTTGATATGATGGAAAATTAAATGTTCATATAATAGAATCAAGCAAAATAGTCTTTTCTTTTGTCAGAGGACGTCCAAGGAAATGGCGGATGGAGTAGACTCGATCGTTCAGAAAAAAATCAAGACGACCCAGTGCTTCTGGTAACTGGTGTCCCTGTTATTGACGCTGCAACCTTTGACCCGCCAGGCATTCAACCATCGATAACAACGACGCCAGGCCCACCAAGATGCGAGCAGGCACCCTATACAAGTGACAGACGCAATTTCACAATGAAACTAGGTGACGGCACAACATTTTCACTGAAATTTTGAATTTATGTTCTGCATATTTTTGTGTAATCAATTGTTTTGTTGTCTTTGTTTTATAATTCATTTACATTGTCAGTTGCGGTTTGTCAGTACCAAAACAAACCCTTGCAAGAGCTGACCCTGTTGATTGAAAACGCAGAGCTCGTGCTACTTATGTACAGTAAATTATTCAACTATTGGAGGTTGAACTTTTGGAGGTTTTCTGTAAATTATCTCAGTAATGGAGGATGTTGCCCACTCCTGGAGACCTCCTAAAATGACTAATGTTCATGAAACTTTGTTTTAAGCTAGGATTTGACCCAGGAAGATTCTGTGTAGAATAGATCTTCAGCAACCCATGCTTGCTGTAAGAGGCGACTAACAGGATCGGGTGGTCAGGCTAGCTGACTTGGTTCATGCATGTCCTCATCCCATTTGCGTGAATGAATCGAAGATCATGATGTCAATCACTGGACTGTCTGGTCCAGATTTGATTATTTACAGACCCGGTCCTATAGCTAGAATATTGCTGAGGGCTTCTTTGAACAACAAACAAACATAAGCGAGGATTTATGTTGGGCCCTTCACCATTACCAGCAGATGCAAAGCTCCATGCAACCATATCTGTTATGCACAGTACGAGATAGCATGCAGTCATACGAGTGTGCAGCCTGCTGTTTCGATTGATATCTTTTGAGGAATGAATAAACTGTATTATTATGTGTAAGTTTTTATTGACATTATTAGGTGCGGTAGATAATTTTACTCAATCAATACAACATTTTTTAGATCATTAATATCATGAGAGTGTCAATGCATATGAAACTATTGAAAGTGTAATAGTTAATGAATGAATGTTAATGAGGTGCCCAAACTTTGCAAGAGGGCTAGTGAAGCAGTACCACTGTTAAGGTATAATACTATATCTTATTCATAACTCGCTGCCCCTATTTTTCAAAACAAATTATTGGCCCTGGTTATCATGAAAAGCCACACCCTTTGTGCTTCCACTTAATCTGTTTGATGTGAGGGTGTGACCACTTTACTATGCATAACAACAACATGATGTCCACAATACCAACATTCAAAATTTATGAATTATTATATATATCGTGATTTGAAAAAATAGTGGGTAACAGTTGACAAAACTAAAGCAGATTATTTCACTCTGATTACACTGTTAATATTCTTCATAAGAATTTGTGCATCTTATTTGCAATATATTGGAACCAATTAAAAATTAAAACCACCAGGTTGTTTGCATGATTTGAAATTTAGAAATTACATGCTTATTCTATAAGTAGTAATCACCATCCTTTAGAATCACAAACATTATACCGCACTTTTCTGTAACAGTTAATATTTTTATTGATGGCCCGAATTTTAAGTTAAAACCAGTAAACCACAGTATTGTGAAAACAACTACATGACAAAGTCCATGAAAACAAGAGTAGTCTCCCTTAGATCACCATTTACCGCACAATAACCGTGATCAGCTAGTGACATGAGGTTTGTTCAGTGCATTCATGCCAACAGAAACGTACATATTAACAGTCACTAGATGATCATTTGGAAATACGCAAAGTGTTGTTGACCGATTTAAAAAGAAGACGTTTCTTTACACTTACGAGGAAATGTGTTTACATAGTCGGCAAACAGTGAGAACGGACAAAAATCACTTTCGATGTATCGTTCACTTGCAGTAGTTCGAATGAAACTGATGCTAAATGCAAAGCTTGGAAACGGATTTTGTTGACTGCTGCAAGTTCGAACATCCATGGACCCCATCCAGTAATATAAACAAACACTTGTCCGAAAGATATCTTGTTATGAATTGAAAAGAGACTGTTTCAAATTTCACTTACCCGAATCCTTTCTCTCACAAAACCCCCGGGATAGCAACTTTCATAAACTTCTTACCGCCATTCACAAACTTTATACCAACAGCCTTGACCTTCCAAGGCCATGACGTCATGTCCGGTCACAGACTGTTCAGGTCGACGTGATGACAAAATGAAAGTGTTGTCTGAAAGCTACACGAAGCACTGATTGATGAGACCAGTGAAGTAACAAATACGAAATGTTATTAGGTGCACATGACATGGTTTTCGTTCTCGTTCTGCTACAAAACAATGAAAAAATGAAATTATATAAAAGTTTTGATTTAATGTATAATTTTAATAGGTACCATATGTATACTGATAACTATATTGACCTCGATCTATATAAATAATATTTAACTCAACAATATCATAAACATTGTTAACATTTATGTGAATAACGTACGCTGTAATTGTAACACCATTGTACCACCCACAAATTCAGGCTCATATACATATTTCATAATAAAAATAAAACATCTATAGAGACAATAAACAACAACAAAATCATATCCCTGCACATTCCCATGGTCTTACTTATAAACTTGGAATGTATATGGTGTCAGCGATACAAGAAGCGTCCTTTTTGGCATTACACGTCACTTTTGTCATTTTGAAAATATGCTGCAAATTAACTAGCTTGTTTTGTATGTGCCATTTAAGATCAACATATAGTAAACTACGGTTATAACGAACTCAAAGGGATAACTATTTTTAGTTCGTTTTAGCAGTAGTTCGTTATGCATATATACAGCGTAGCTACAGCAAATAGTCGGGACAAAAAAAGTAAGTTCGTCGTATCCGTCAGTTCGTTATAAGCGTGTTCGTTATAAACGTAGTTTACTGTATGTTAAGATTAAAGTAATTTCAAAAAGTGTTAGTTTTGTCATGAAACTCTCTGGTTCCGGGAAGGATACCGTCTAGTCCCTGTCCTAAACACTTCATTAATTGTCGAATATAAAAAGCAGAATGTAATACTTACGCAAATGGAATCTGTGGAGTCACTTGTTATAAGCAGATAAGGCAAATCTAGATGAAACTTGGATGCATAGCTGGTCCACTTGATCTGTGTCAGTGTTGTATTATTATGCTTTGGAATCTTACCATTTACACCAATAAAGCCATGAATATATGTGCTTCCACAAAACACCTCACCTGGTGCATATTCATTCATGGGACATCACCTCTAACCACTGTATCGTGTAATTGTAATTCTGGTTTATTGGATGGCATTTTTCTCATGCTTTTTCAGTTCAAATAGAAGATAATCGGCCATATGTTTATGAAATATAAATACATCAGTTTGGAAAAACGTAATTGTTTTTTTAAGAATTATTTTTGAAGCGTTTGATAAATAGAAACGTTATCCCGTACGATGCAACACGTGTACGTTATTTAGCATCACATGAACAAAACCAAATATAATTGAAAATTGTTCTGTTAAAGAAGTGTGAAAATATGTGTACCGTGAAAATCCGGTTCATAATTGGTCTTCAGCAACCCGTGCTTATCGTAAGAGGCGACTAACAAGATCGGATGGTCAGGCTCTCTGACTTGGTTGATGCATATCATTGTATCCCAATAGCGTTGACCTGGATTGTTTGGTCCAGATTCGATTCTTTACAGACCGCTGTCATATTGCTTGATTATTGTTTTTTGGAGTGTTATTCAATTATCAACAAACAAACTGAAAG